TTTAATTTCATTTAAAACTACATAATTTTATATACATAAATCTAGTAAAATTCATTTTAAGCAAAACTTCGTTGTATTAAAAAAAAATTTCGTTATAGAGAAAATTTGTTATAAAAGAGTCATTTTATATATAAATTTTTCTGACTTTAATTCGTTAAACATAGTACAAATTTTTAATTACTAAATTCAGTATAGTAAGGGTTTTTTTTTTTTTATGGAAAAAGACAATGATTGATCGATTCAAACGGGTTTGTAAAATAATCACGGGGGATAGCTAGTACTTTTTTTTTTCTTTGTATTTAGTTTTACTTTTGTATTTCTTTTATAAAATAATAAAGTTACTGGCAGTGCCACATCATAAAAAAAAAAGGGGGGGTTTTTTTATATTTAAAAATCTGTCTGATACTGAAAATCCATTGTATTGTAAAATTCGTTATATCAAAATTCGTTGTAGAAAGAGTTGACTGTATATATATTATCATAGATAATTATCTTAGTAATTTATAGTATTCTGCAAAAAATCTGATTCAATCTGACAGATTCAGATTTGGATACAGATCCGATTTGTTGGATTTGAAATAAAAAATGTCATCCTGAAGTCGGATGTGATATTTATTATTAAAAAATTTAATTTTAATATTTGGATTCAGATCTGATTTGTTGGATTTAAAATAAAAAATGTCACCCTGAAGTCAGACATGACATTTATTATTAAAAAATTTAATTTTTAATAATAAAATGCCGCCCGAAAGTCAGACATAGCATTTATTATTAAAAAAATTTAATTTTTAATAATAAAATGCCACCTGAAAGTCAGACACAGCATTTAGTATTAAAAAATTAATTTTTATTAATTTTTAATAACAAAATGTCATCCCAAAAGTCAGATGTGATATTAATTAATTTTTATTAATTTTTAATAACAAAATGCTATCCTAAAAGTCAGAAGCAGCATTTATTATTAAAAAGATTAATATTTAATAATAAAAATTAATTTTTTATATTAAAATGCCACCCGAAAGTCAAATGCGGTATTTATTAATATAAAATTAATTTTTATTAATTTTTTATATTAAAATGCCACTGAAAGTCGAACGTGACATTTATTAATAATAAAATTAATTTTATTAATTTTTTATATTAAAATGCCGTCCCGAAAGATGGACGCAGCATTTATTAATAACAAAATGACGTCCCAAAAGTCAAATGCAACATTTATTATTAAAAATTAATTTTTAATAATAAAATGCCGATCTAAATGTCTGAAGTGGATTTTTGTTAAAAAAAATTGTTTTTTTAACATTAAAATGCCGTTCCGAATGTCAAAGACGGATTTTTGTTAAAAAAGCTACAATTTTGTTGATTTTTAAACATTACAGCTAATTTCATAATTCGTGGACCACTAATAAATTGCGACTGAATGTGACTGAAAATATTTTATAATAAAATTACTAGAAAATATTGCGACTGAATGCGACTGAAAAATTATTAATGGTCCATAAATTATGAAATTAGCTGTAAAACGTCATTCTGAACGACAAAGGTGGATTTTTGTTAAAAAAATTTTTGATCCATCAGATACAAATACAGATTCAGATACGGATTCAGATTTTTCGGATTTAGATCAAATCAGATTTTGCCCAAATCTGATCTGATCCAATATGTGCAGAATACTAATATATATATATATTTAATTATTTTGATTCAGTTTGGTTGATTTGATTTGATTTGATTCGTCAAATATTTGATTCAATTCGATTTTACGGAACCCTAATAACCTATAATGACGTAATATCTGTTACTTCCCTAAATTTAATTATAATAAAATTCTCTAAAAATTATATGTTTATTGTAGAAAGTAATAATATTATTTTTAAATATTGCAAATTTGTAATATAGATGTAAAAGTAATGCTTAAAATTAAATAGATGAAAAGCATTAAATAGACATAAAAAAGAAGCTTAAAAGAGTTTCGATTATTCATATAATAAAATATATAACAAGATCTTTTTAAAATGTTCGCTTTGATCAACATGCGATCATTTAGAAAAGTTTTAAGCCTAAATTATTTAAAACTATTAAGGTATATTTAAACTCAGAGCGAAATTTTCTTTAAAAAAAAGTTTCTAAGTTCACTATCAAGTTGGATACTAAATTTTAGTTTCACAGAAATTTCCGAACCCAGTTTGATTTTTCACTCCTAAAATTACTAAATTTGGATAACTTTAGTTAAAGGCTTTTAACGCGACGCGATTCGTTTGACTTCCAAAAAAAAATGTCTTCAACACGAAAATTGACGCGTCTAAATCCTAAGTTAGGAAAGAAAACGATATATAAGCTAAATTGTTTTCCACGTACACCGGTTAGCACAACGAAAGAATTATTCAGTCGCACCGAACTTGAATTGGTAGAATGTTGTAATTTTAAAATTGAAACCGTAAGAAATCTTCAAATACGAGCTGCTAGATGGATTACACCAGAATTCGTATCTGTATGTATATCCCATATTTAATAAATAATTTTCGAATTGATGAAAAATATATAATATTGTCAATTGATAACAGGTGATGGATATGATCAAGGAAAATTCTTCACCATTCTTGGCAACTTCATTAAAAGGTTTAGATGAGGCTTTAGGTGGAGGAATACCATTCTCTTCCATTACTGAGTTCGTTGGTCCGACTAGGTCTGGTAAAACACAGTTTTGTTTGACACTCTCAGTATTGGCGACGTTACCAGAAACTATGGGTGGACTTGGTGGAGGGGTGTGTTATATAGATACTGAACGAAATTTTAACGCGGACAGGTAAAAGAACAAAGCACCCGACGAGACAGATTCTTTTTCTTTTTTTTTTGTTTGATTCGACATTTGATATAATTTAGGCTTATAACGATAGCCGAGAATCGATTTCCTCAATACTTTGGTAAAGATGAACAAGGTCAAGCCAATCTTGATAAAATGGCATCATCCATCCGTAAGATGGATATTACATCTTCAAAAGATTTGATAAAAAGGTAAAAAAGGAAGAAATTTTCAAAAAATAAAATAAAATAAAAGATTTTAAACTTCACAGCTAAACTTACTACCCTTTTTTTAGATTGGATGAACTTCAAGAATTCATAATTGAAAATGATATTAAATTATTAATAGTAGATTCCATTGGGTCACTTGTTAGAAAAGAATATCAAAATCCCGCAAAGCAATATGGATGGGGAGGGCCTTTGGTGGAAAGAAATGACGTGTTACTTCAACAGGCATCCAAACTGAAGAATTTATTATTTCCTTAAAATTCAATTCGTTTTTATTTTTAGTTTATTATTTAACGCAAAAGTTATGTTTAATGCGTAAAATTTTTTTTTAACAAAAAAATAATAGATACTTGGCTGAATCGTTTCATATACCTATAGTGGTAACAAATCAAGTGATCACTAGGAATCAAAGTGAAACCGTATTACCAAAAGAATGTTCTCGTCCGGTAAAAAAGTCGCGCGAAGGAGGTACTTTCTACATCAAATAAATTTTAAGGAAATATTTAATTATAAATAATTTTATTTTTTAATTCGAAGGTCCAGAAATTACAGCAGCTTTAGGAAATACTTGGGCACATTCTGTTACAACACGTATAATGATGAATAAATTTCATATTAGAAATTTATCAAATTTGAACTTTACAACATTAAATAATTTATTTCCACCAAATCTGCAAGAATTAACCATTGTAAAATCTCCTATTGCTGCAAATGTTACAATTTATTATACTATTGAGAACGAAGGAATTATGGAATTCATTTCGTCAAAAAACACAGAGGACAACCAAAAAGTTTACATTGTGGAGGAAATTAATAAAACTGACGCAGAACAAAGCCAACTATCGAGTAAAAAGAGAAAATCTGACGTTGCTGAATGGTTTATATCAACATTGTGGGCATAATCTTCGCGTCATATAACGTAATATAACGTAATATAATAATAAAATGATAATATTTGACTAAAAAAAAATAATTGCTTCGGCATTTTTTTTTTCCGATAAAAAAGAAAACTGCTTTTATTATTCTCTTCCTAATTTCTTTAATCTATCCGTGGCAATACTCATCATATCTGATAAACCTCTTTCTAATTCTTCATCTTTATTTCCTTTTGATATTGTATCTTGTAAAATAGGAATAATTTCTCTTCGTGATTTACCATTAACAAAAATAACAAAACGGAAGCCAAACTTTTCTTCATATTTATTATTTAATTCTTGTAATATTGTATTAACAATTTCATCTTCATCTAAAGCATTTGATTTAATTTTATTTGAACTATCATTTGCTGAAGAATTGAAATAACCTTGTTCTTTTAAAGAAGATAAAGAAAGATTTTTTTTATCTTCACCTAAACGTGGATGAGCATTAATTATTTCAAATTTATGAGAGATTGGTAATTCAGTATTTTGAATAAATTTTGATGCTAAGGAAATTAATGAATTATAAGATGTATATGGACGAGAAGAGTATAATGCATTTGTCAATGGTGGAGCTGATTCGAATAACACGTTTATTGTTCTAATAAATTCATCATATGAAGATCCATTTAATTCGGAGATTAGTGGTAATTTCGACATTTCAGTTTTTGTTGAAAAAAAAAAAAGGTAAAAAATTTTTTGATGTATTTATATCCGCATTTCTGCATGTTGATCATGATGATCATTGACAAATTATTTTTAAAAAAAAAATTTTATAAAAAAATTTTTTTAAAAAAAAAAAATGAATGATGGATGAATCAAATAATTTAATATTAAATTTTATCACGGATGATGTTTCTATTGATGAAAGCACTAGTTTAAGATCAAAATTAAAACATATCGGGGGAAGTTGGAAAGATAAAAAGAAAGTTAGAAAGTTATTAAAAAAGAATTCGCAAGTTCATTCTTCTCAAAATAGTTCAATTGATAGATCACAAAGCACAAACACCACCGATGAATCAATTCGTGAAAATATATCAGGTCCACGAAATTTCATAAATGTTCAAAGTAATAACGTAGATACTGGAAATCATTTCAATTCTCAAAAAAGTACACATTCTCGAGATAATTCAAATTCTCAAAGGAATTTAAATAGCAAAACTCAAATCATCTCATCAATCTTCAGTTATAATCCCGAAATCCCAAAGGTTACGGATGATGATGATATATCAACAAATGTGAGGTCAACCACAGATCATAAACCGAGTAATGGACCAATTAATGATACTTATTCATTTATAAGTATGGGTTTAAATAGCGATTTGGTTGAAAATATTAAAAATAAATTAGGAGTTGAGAAACCAACGAATATTCAACGTAGAGCGATTCCCGTCTTAATGTCTTCCATAAGCAATAACGAAAGGAAAGAAGAAAATTTTGATGTTGTAGTCCAAGCCGAGACAGGATCTGGCAAAACTCTTACTTATTTATTTCCAATAATACATCAATTAATAAGCATTACGGCTAATATACAAGATAATAAAATACTTTCACGTTCAATTGGAACTTTAGCAATTATATTGACTCCAACACGTGAATTGGCGATTCAAATCTTATCAGTATTGGAGGCTTTAATTAACATCCCATCTTCAAAGGAACGTCATTTAGCTCATTGGATCGTTGCTGGTAGCGTCATAGGTGGCGAAAAGAGACAATCCGAAAAAGCTAGATTGCGTAAAGGAATAAATATTTTGGTCTGTACACCTGGTAGACTGTTGGATCATTTACAAAACACGAAATCATTTTTGGTGGAAAATTTAAGCTGGTTAATACTTGATGAAGCTGATCGTCTCTTAGAATTGGGATTTGAAGAAACTCTACAATCAATATTAAAAATTTTGGAAGAAAAAACGAATGGTCCTCTAAAAAATCAGCTTTACCCCTTTACTAAATTTTGGCCGAATAGAAGACAGACAGTTCTTTGCTCTGCTACTTTAAAGGATGAAGTTAAGCGTTTGGCGGGATATGCTTTATCTAATCCCATTTTCATTGGAGGAAAAAATGATGATATTTCTCCTTTAGGAGAGAAGAAGGATGAGAAGAGTTTAAAAGAAACAACGTTCAGCACACCTAATCAATTGAAACAAACTTATGTTATAACACCAGCAAAATTACGTTTGGTTACCTTAACGGCAATTCTAAAATCCATTTTCAAAGTCAAAAGAACTGAAAGTTTTATGAATCACAAAATTATAGTTTTTATGTCAAGTTGTGATTCGGTAGATTTTCACTTTGATCTGTTTATTAAATCCGGAAGGATTAGTGAAGAATTAACGGATGATGATGATGATCGGTCGATTTCTACCATTGCAGTCATTCCTGGGACGAAGATGTTTCGATTACATGGTGACCTATCGCAAAATGTTCGTACAAAAACATTTAATGAGTTCAGTCATACAGATTCTGGCATATTATTTTGCACGGATGTTGCCGCAAGAGGTCTTGATCTTCCAGATGTCGCAAAGATCATCCAATATGACCCACCAACAGATTTAAAAGACTACGTTCACAGAGTTGGTAGAACTGCAAGGTTAGGTAAAGAAGGTGAAGCTATATTATTTTTGCTGCCAAGTGAAATTGAATACATTCATGTTTTAAGGTCACAAGAAATTTTTGCAGAACCTGTTCAAGTTGAAACTTTATTAGAAACTTTGACAGTGTCAGAGAAAAGAAACAAGGAGGGATATGAAAAGGTCGCAGCCGACCTTCAATTACAATTCGAAAGATACGTTCTTTCAAATTCTGAGGTGAGACTTTATGAAAATTTCGTATTATTTATATGTAATGTGCGTGTCATTAATAAGAGGAAGGATTGATTATTTTTTTAGTGCACCACATTAGCTCAAAAAGCATATTCATCACACATCCGCGCATACGCGACGCATACAACTTCGGAAAAATGGATTTTTCACGTGAAGAAACTGCATTTAGGTCATGTAGCAAAAAGTTTTGGCCTACGAGAAGCACCATCAAATATCAAAAATGAAGTGGTCTCCTCCCCTTCGAATAAATTTGACAATAGGAAGAATGTTTATAAAAAGAAAAATATCCACAATAAAGAAGGAAAATTCACTTTTGGCAATCAAAAGGATATCAAAAAAAGAAAATTTGAAATAATGAACGAGTTTTCATTTGGAAACTATGAAAGTATGATAGGACCAATTACAAGAAGAAAACGAAAAAGAAAATAAGAATTAAAAAAAAAAATTTTTTTTTTAATACAACATGACAGGTTTTTTTTTCGCAGATCTATAAATGTGAAACGTGTAATAAAAATACCACTTTTAGTATACAATACATCTTGGAGAAGTTCCTTTTGATCAGAATCTTGAAATCAATTAAGACATTTATGGTATCAAGTCCAAATCAACGATCATTCATCTGTTTGTTATTTTGAATTTAAACTAGTTTTGACATTCCCCAAACAAAATTTTCCTTGATAAGTAAGATAAACAATAACTTTGATAGCACACATTCAAATATATGAAAAAAAACCCCCCAAACCTGAAATAATATCACGAGATTAAAATTACCAAATTGCGGTATTGTTTATGTAAGCTTATAAATTGGAAACAATTGATGGATGATAACCGAACTTCATTCATTCTTCAACCTAATTTTAAAAATATTGCATAAAAAACTCGAGGTGATGGACTTCGATCCTTTTAATTTTTCACGAATTATTTTTTTAAAATAAAATCTAGTACAAGGAGCCTCGATAAAAAATTTGATTAACCAAGGACGATCGAACGGATGTAGGGTTAGGGCTAATGATCATGTAAGATTTCTACAAACGAAAAGATTAAAATTAGCATTTTCCCGAAATAAACAATTCATTTATCAGATGAAAAGTTTGTATTTAGGGGTGATTGTATAAAAAAGGACTTTATCTTTACATGATGTTTCACTTTCTTTCAAAGTGAAAACTTTCGTACCATACCTTTTTTCGCGTCCTATTTTTTTTTTTTTTTAATTTTTCCACATTTTTTTTTTATTCCTTTATACCTTTATCTCCTTATCGAATATTTCTGGTTAGCTTCTTTTTTTTATTCCTTCAACTTTGATACTTCAACCTCGATATTTAATCATAATGGGAAAATTTTTCTTAGTTAAGCCTTGGATAAAGAAAAAAATATTATGTTACCTATTAAATGAAGAGTTTAATAAAACGCCCGTTAGGGCACAGGTTTTACGGGTAAGTTAATTTTCATATATCTTTTTATCTGATGAAGCAAATTTTTTTTTAGGAACGTATCATTAGCTATCAGAAAAAATATTTGACTTTTTTGAACGTGTTTTTTTGTCGACACGTCATACTGTTGTTTAGTTTACTAATTCTCGAGAAGAATTAGATCAAAATGAATTAGTGTCAGCAGAAATTCACGATGATCAACATTTTATTAAATGCTATTTTACGAACGAAAGCGTTCATGATTTCGAATGGTTTGTTTAAAAAAAAAAAGAAAAAAACCGATGGTAGTTCCATTTTAGGAATTTTTTATTATTTTATCTTTTTTGAATGTATTAAAGTTTTGATTATCCAAATTCTTTTTATTTATCTAAATTAAGAAAAAGATTTCTGAATTTTCTTCTTGCAGATAAAAAACGAGTTTTTGAAAACACGAGAGTTTTAACCTTAATTATAAACTAATATTTTATTTTATTTTTTTTTATTTATGACGCGTCCGGTTAAAAATTATCAATATAGGCAAAATTATATGCAAATTAACGGTATAAAGAGAGCGTTTATCATAATAAAGGATTACACAATTTCATGCGAAATCAATCCTACAAATAATAAAATCGAGTGTTTCCTAATGATAAAATATTTTACTTGCAGTAAGAATATACCTGAAGAAACTGAAGGAAAATCCTTTCTAAATATTTGTGAAGAGATGGAAATTAAAGAGTCCCTTCAAGCTCAAGCTGTTAAAGATAAAAAACCAAGTCCCCTTGACCATCCTGGTTGGAACGTAATATTATTTTTTTATTTTTTTTTATATAGAAAAAAAAGAGTAATAATTAAAAAGATAATAATTTGTCCCCTAATATATATATATATATATATATATACCTAATGAATGGACAAACATATAAAAAATATAAAAATTTATGTAGGAGTTTGGGACCATGTTTTATAGTAATTCGATTGACATTCATATTATTCCACCGGATCAGTTGAAAATCATGAGAAATATCCCGGGTAATTAAAACAAAAACACCTTGTTAAACTTTTTTAAATCTTTTCATTTTCCTTTCTCACGTTAAATCAAATTTTTAACTAGGGTGGAATTTTTCAGGGAAAAATAATGGTTTGTATATTTTAAGCACAAATAACATTTTAAATAAAATTAATCATTGCATTATATTTTCGGTACCAAAAATCAGACAATGATGCATCTATTGGTGAAGAATCCGAAACCGAATCAACCGCTTCTACAGAGTGGAACCCCGGTTCTCCAGAATGTATGATTACGATCTTTTTTTTTTTAATCAGATTATCTAATCAAATAATCAAATATTAAATATTTTTGTTTAGCATCACGATATGACTCGGATGGGAAAATTAGCCTTAATGACGAAGATTTCGCCATTATAATTAAAGGAAATTATTTTAATTCTCAGCAGCCAAGTGCCGAAGAAGTGGAAAATAATAATCGAGCGGATACTTTGAAATATGAGGAAGTTCGTGTTGCACAAAATAAAAGAAAGAATCTTGAAAGGGATCCTGATGATGGTGAACCTACAAAGAAACAAAAAAATTTCTACGACTCTGTTGTTTCGTTTAAAAGTTGGTGAATATAAATTTTGTTTTTTGTTTTTTTTATTAGATTACTAAAGATTCTTTATTTTATTTTATTTTTTATCCTCAATGTTTAGGAAAAATGATTAAGAGAATAACAAATATATAGTTATAGATTAATTATAATAATTGCAATATTAAATAAAAGATCTAAATTTAAGTATTATGAAATGTGAATTCAAAAGAAAAGTTAGAATTTGTACCGATATTATTTTCTTTAATTATTAATTAAACATTATAAAAAAGGATTGCCTTGTCAAGAAATTTTCATATTACGTTTAAATTTAAATATATTTTGCATATAAATGTCGTCCATTGTTTTAACAAACCATGAATCTTTAACATGCAATATGATAAGCCACGTTATAAATATTAATGAAGAGAAGTATATTAAATATGTATATCTCACTCCATATAATAATGAATAAATGGTTATTATTAATAACAATATATCGGTTGTAAATCTTGATTTCCTGTATAAAAAAAAATTTTTTTTTAAGCAAAATAATAATTTACTCTTAAAAAACAAACAATTTAATTTACCTTCCAGTTGTTCGAGGTAATTTGTTTCCAATAGTTATAATTTGGACATAAAATATAATTGGTGCTATTGCTAAGATACTATGATCCCATGAAAATGGTGCAAACCAATTAACTGACATATTCCTTATCCAGACCATTAAAACAGGTATATTAAATGGCAATAACATAAATAATAATAATAATATTGATTGTAAATAGTGATAATTATCCCAGTTTTCTTGAACATTCGTTGATTTATACTAATATATATATATATATATATATATTTAAAAAAAGTAAAGATCATAATGATAAATAATATATCAACTTAAAAAATAATAATAATATATATATATATTTTTACTTACCCCTGAACGAGCAACTATTAACGATTTAACACAAGACACAATATGAACAAAAAATGCAACAAGAAATGCAAATTGATACGGTACAAAAGATGCAACAAGAATTAACAGTATTGTTATTGTAATTACACGCCTTCTCAATTTTGAAGCCTTTGATTCCGAAACCCTATATCATTTGGATTTAGTTACAAAGAATGATATACTAGGAAAGAGTATATATTTAACTTACCTATGTTTTATAAATAAGTTTTGTCGACTCATAAAAACAGCAGCTCCAGCCAAGGCCTTTACAATGATTGTTACAAGTACCCAAAAAAATGCAGTTATGCCAATACTCATTAGAAAAAATAATGGCGGTAAAAACCAGAAAAAAGGATCTTGGTTTCCGAGCAATGTATCATTCACATTAAATGATGATTTTGCTTTAATAACTTTTTGCATATCTCCTGACGCATAATCCATTGGAAATAAATCTACTAGTGAATATGTTTTTGAAGCTTGAGAGAAAGACTGATAAATAGATAATGCTGACACCATAATAATAAATTTCAAAAATGTTTGTCGAATAAAAAGTTCCAACCCACATCCAAAACTCATAAAGGGCTCTATCAAAAAAGAGAAACAAAAGTAAATAAAAAGAGAATATTTTTGAAAACAGTAATAAATACTTACCACCGCGATTATATTCTCTAAACTGCGCTCTTAGAGTCATAATAACTATAATAAAAGGAAATGCAACGATAATGGTTTGAAACCGCATAACTATTTTACCAAGACTTCCATACAAATCCCATTCGATATCTATTGTTAATGGAATTGAACAAGTAGGATCCATCCAAAATTGCAATTCAAGTCCTTTACGGAAATTGGGTGCATTAACAGGTGTTACGAAAGGAGACTGTCCGTGAATATTCAAGTTTGCATATTCAATGTTGACAAGGAATTTAGATTCGTACATGGACGAAATAGATTGACGTACAAACAATGCAAAATGTTGATCTACAAAAAAATTTTTTTAGTACGATAAATAAATAGAATATTATAAAATAAAATATAAATGAAAACATCGTTATTTTACCTACACATCCTGTACGACGAACCGACATCTTATATGTCATTAAACTACTATCAATAATTGGAATGCGTAAAAACGATACCATGGCTTGATGTTCGGGCAATCCATCAAAATGAATTCCATCAATTATAAGATCTGAACAATCAAAAATAACAAAAATTTTAATCTTGATGATTTTGATAGATTTTAATTTTAAGAAAAACTAACATTATCATCCCGACCTTTCATAGACGAGTTATTCAAATCTATCATTGTTAACCTTTCATCAAAGAACTCCCCAATTAAGAATCCCTCCATAAAAACCTTATTCTGAAACATAATGGCGATATATTGATAATCTCCCAGATCACTAACATTTAATTTTAAATAATTAAATGTTAAACCAGAAAATGGATGTTCCAAATCTCTTCTTGAAGCTGGCAATAAAGATGCTTCATTAGATGCAATGTGACAAGAAAGTCTTGGCGCTGTAGGTAATTCTATATTTAAAGATGAATTGTCACCCTTATTTTGATGATCTGGAACCTCTGTTGGCATCACATCACATAAAAGAATTTCTACCCCAGGATCTTTTGACAAATATTGGTCTGTCAATAAAGAGAATGTTGAAAGTGGTTCTACTGGCGGTATTGGCATCAAGTATACTTGAGATGTTAAATTCAACTCATTTAATACTATTCTCTGTCCCATATTTAAAAATTTGTGTGGGACCTTTTCTAAATTTATTATTCCAAAAAATTCTAATTGATAATTAAATGTAGATTCATCCATATAATATCCCCAAAAATTGTATTTATTAATTATTGTTAAATTAATGACGATATAATAAATGGAATATGAAATTTTTTTTATTTTTATTACCTCTCTTGGACTTATTTAATCCTAAATCAAATGGATCTTCAAGTCCAGTCAAATAAAATTTTCGAAATGCCGCCATTCTTTCTACGCTTGTTTTTGTTTGTCCAGGACGTCTAATATCGACAATACTTAATAAAGAGGTTGCCACAACCTTGACAAATTGTTTGCACCATAAAATGGCTTGATGATCCATTGAAGTCCATACATTAGGAATAGATGTGGTAAAAACAGTAAAGCCATGAGATGCAGGCACAAGCGAATTTATATTGGCAGAATCTGAACATACAATAGTATCCAAATTGCCACCAGCAATAGATATTAAAGTAACATCCGCCAAAGAATTCTCAGGTGTTGCACTTTGAGAATAACCATTTCTCCAAAACTCATTAATGTCAGTATAGATCTTGCTGATTTGCCAATCGAATGGAAAAGGAGGTAAAACATGTGGTGTTGCCAATGTTAAAATGGTGTTTATAGATCCGGGTTGGAAATTTGGCATTGTAAACAAAGTCCTGGCAACTACACCACCCATTGAATGTCCGATTATAATAACCGAAGTCGGATCCGGATGGGGTGAATTGGTATCCTGGGTCTTTCGCGTTAATGGATACAATGATAAAATATATCGAATCGCATCGTTAAGATATTCTGCCTGTTCATTCAGAGAATGCCCATGAAGCGCAGAAAATTCTTCATTAAAATCAACTTAATATATGATGTCATAAGAAATAGAAACTATTTTGAATTATGAATAATACTATAATACAAATCAATTTCGAATTATAAAAACCCAGACTCTCTACCTGTAAAAAAATCAAGCGAGCTAACACCCATTTCACTCGATGCTGGATCTCTCGCAAAAATCTCAGAGAAAATCACTGACGTCTCTGAAGCTATTGAACGAGATTGTTTATAGCTACCAGCATTACCTGGAATAAAAAGGGCCGGAATTCCAGTTGGCTGTATATTTCGTTAGAAAATTTGGTAAAGTAGCTTTAAGAGTGGACGAATTAATTTTTATAAATAAATTCGTACCTGATCATTATCGTGAACTCGATCCCTGTAAAGATATAGACTATATTTTCCAGCAAATCTTGTTTGTTCACTATCAAAATTATCTTGTCTAATATATAAAGGGTACATACTCGAAACATTACAACCTTTAGGATCTTTTTGATGGTAAAAAAATGAATGCATAATCATACCCCCAAAGAGAATTGTTATTAAAGATATAATTACTATAGTATATGAAAATGATAGTGAAGCCGAGGCGTTTCGCATTGAGAACGAAACGCCGAGTTTCCATGGCGTTGAAAAATGATTTATAAAAGAATTAGTTGAAGTTTGAATGTTATTTTGAAAAGTATTATTTAAAAATGAAGTCTCAGATGAAATTGGGGAGGGAGTTCTATCTCCATGGAATCGATCGCTATGTAATGTTTCGACTTCATAACGAGGTGACCCTATTTCGAGTGATTCCCGCTCTTCTGTTTCAAGAAATCCCATTATTTTATTATCTTTTTTTTTTCTATGATACTGCTACTTGAGTTTTCCACTTCCTTCGAAACATGAGACAAATTTCAACTGATTAATTTACTCACAAATTGTTTGTTACAAAATATAAGGTTGAACAGAAACTCAAACGTAGCGTTCTGGATAATTAATTGCTTTATATTTTTTCTTGTCAGATTACACGAAAAAAAAAAATTCCTGCAATATAAAAAGGCAGTGTATAAGTAAAAAATCCGAAAGGCATGGCACTTAGATGATCTATTATAGTAATCCGATATATAGTAGATTATTTGATATTACAGGTTCTACATCTATTTAGTTGTTCACAATGGCAGATTATTTTATAAAAGCGGCAGCATTCGCGCAAAATGCAGCAAAATTATCTAAAAAAGTTTCGGAAGGGATTGTTGAAAATGCGCGTGAATTTGGATTGGAAGCAACTTCCTCGGGGCATTATTTTGACACCTCTGAAGAAAAAATGAGAGATATAAAACGACAATTAGATTCAAGGCATGACAGAGAGAAAATGGATGGGTTGAAAAGGTTGATCGCGGTATGTGAAAGTGAAGTTCGACTTGCAAGAAGCGAAAGAAAAAAAATAAATAAAATTAGTTGTTTATATTGTTTAGTCGGCATTATTTGGAAGTTATTAAAAATTGATAATAAAAATTTATGATTTATTTTCTTTATATTTAATGTTATTAAAAACAATTTTAAATCGTAGATGATATCTAAAGGACGCGATGTATCCGAATTCTTTCCTGATGTTGTAAAAAATGTGGCATCCCAGAATCTTGAAATTCGAAAGCTAGTTTATATATATCTACTCCGATATGCTGAACAAGAACCTGATCTTGCACTCTTATCAATTAACACTTTTCAAAGAGATTTAACAGATCAAAACCAATTGATTAGAGCAATGGCTTTAAGAGTGATGTCTGGTATTCGAGTGCCCGTAATAAGTCCTATAGTTTTATTAGCAATTAAGAAATGCGTGACCGATTTATCGGCCTATGTGAGAAAGACTGCAGCCCACGCAATTCCAAAATGTTATAGGTATTACAAAATTATCACTTCTTGATATTTACATGATAAGCGTTAAACTCACCTTGATCTCGTTTTAATAGTTTAGATCCCACTCAGGAAGATGCTTTGGTTGACATAATTACTACCCTTCTGAAGGACAATTCTTCTTTTACAATTGGAAGTGTCATAATGGCCTTTGATGAAGTTTGTCCTCATAGATTTGATCTAATACATCCTCATTTCCGAAAATTATGTCGGATGTTGATCGATGCCGATGAGTGGGGGCAGATCGCCATCATGGGGTTGTTGTTGAGATACGCGAGGTATGAAATTCAATATTAGATTTTGCGTAAAATATAAAATAATCTTTAATAATTCCATTATTATTGAACACAAAGAACTCAATTTTTGAATCCAAATCCTAAAGTAAGCGAAGATTTATAAATTATACATTCGTTGATTTTAGTTTTGATTTTTTATATCAACATTTTTTTATAGGAACCACGTGTGTCTAAAAAGAAAAAGGCAAAGGCTTTTTATTCTGATGATGAGGATTCGGATAAGACGAATGATTCTCTTGAAAATTCATTTATTCTTGATCCAGATCATGAATTACTGTTACGGTCTTGTCTTCCACTTTTGCAAAGTCGGAATAGTGCTGTATGTGCATTGATATTGGAATATTGTTGAATTTTACTACAATATTCTTTTAGAGTAATCGCTTTTTTTATCTTTATAGGTGGTCCTTTCGGTTGCGAAAATCTATTATCATTTGGCCCCAGTTGAAGAAGCATATAAATTGGGTAAACCTCTTGTAAGATTGCTGCATAGTCATCGTGAAATCCAATATGTTGTATTGGCTAATATCGCTACTATGGCGACACAAAGACCAGTATGTATATTATAATTATTATTTATTTTTATCGAAACAATGAATATTTATTAATCTTCCTTTGTTGGAATTTATGTCAAATAGTGTCTTTTTGAACCTCATCTTCAACAATTTTTTGTCCGTTCAACAGATCCAGCTTTCATTCGTAATCTTAAATTAGAAATTATGACTTTAATTGCAACTGAGAATAATATTACGTTATTACTTAGGGAATTACAAGAATATGTTAAAAGTCCTAACAAGGAATTTGCAACTTCTGCAATTCAAGCCATCGGTCGATGTGCGATTGGCATGCCAGATATGGCAGAAAATTGTCTTAATGGGTTAATGAAACTGTTGTGGAGTAAGAATGGTGAGATAACTTTCACTTACAAGGATATTCTTTAATGAAAACAATAAACTAATATTATTTCAATTGAAAGATGCTGTCGTTGCAGAATCTGTTGTAGTTATTAAAAGACTTTTACAATTAAGACCTCAAGATAATGCAGATTTAATAATACAACTAGCTAGAGCGCTTGATCAAATTACTGTTCCAATGGCTCGAGCTAGTATATTTTGGCTTGTTGGTCAATATTCTCAAAATCTTGAAAAGGTGGCCCCAGATATACTTAGAAAAGCTGCTAAATCTTTCGTGAATGAGGCCGATGTAGTTAAATTACAAATCATCAATTTAGGGGCCAAATTATTTTCACTTAATCCGAAAGATCAAATCCTTAACTTACTTTTCCAATATGTTCTCAACCTTGCACGATATGACCTTAATTATGATATTAGGGATCGTGCAAGACTTCTTAGAGGCTTAATTATGATAATTGGGCATAAGGACGTAACATCTGAAAATGGAGAAATTAATGAATCTCAAGACACCGATTCAATCAATAGCAGTATTTTGAAGGAGAATTTAAAGCAAATACTTTTATGTGAAAAAGAAGCACCATCTGAAGAGAGTCCTTCTGCGGGTAACACTTTTTTTTTGTTGATAAAGGTCCACGTAGAAAGACCTTGACGGCGAGCGGTTCAGTATAGATTTGTTTCACCTCAATACATTTTTTTTCACTTTATTAAAGGACGAGATCGTTTTACCATTGGCTCAATGGCTCTAGTATTAAATCACTCTATACCTGGTTACGAACCATTACCCGATTGGCCAACCGAAAAACCCGATGGTTCGGCACGGAACAATTTGGTAATTCATATTTATTTTGGTATGCACAAGATTTTCACTAAAATGACTAATTTTATTTTTCTTTAGGACGAAACATATAGCCGATCGCAAGCTGTGAAAGGATTCGGAAGTGATTCATTTGGTGATTACGCACCATCGCCTATTTATGATAAGCCTCTCGTCACAAATAAACGAAATGAGGTTTATGACCTTGACCGTTTTTATGAATCGGAAAATTCTTCGGATGAAGATATTACACGCGTGAAAACTTCAGGTTGGATGATTACACACGTTTTTTTTTTGTTTTTTAAATTACAATAGGATTTAACATCATTTTAAATGATCTACTAAAATAAGGACTTCGTTATGATTCTATTGGAGACGAAACTTCCGAAAGTGAAGAAGAGGAGGAGGGTGAAGAAACAAGTGAAGAAGAGGATGAATCATCCGAAGAGGAAGAGGAAGAGGAAGAGGAGGAAAGTTCTGAAGAGGAAGAAACGGGTGAAGAAACGTCGGAAGAAGATGACGACTACGATGAGCAAGCGTCATTAGTGGAAAATATACAAGGAAAAGGAAAAGATGAATTGCCCAAATCTCGTTAAAAAAAAATATACATATATATAATATAAAGAATGATAAGAAATTTCACTGTAAAAATAGTCATAAATTCTATTAATATTAATTATTTATTGTTTCAATTTTAATACATTAATGAATAACTTCATTTAAAAAAAGTTCCGATTCTTGATTTTAATGATTATTTTATGACGGTCTTGCGGGAGTAGCGTTACCAGGTCTAGTAGGTACTAGTTGACCCGGTTGTTGACGGAATTGTGCCCTGAACTGTTCGCGGCTTCTTTCCTGAGCTATTAATATTAAAATAAAAAAAAATTAATTAAGTCGTATAAAAGAACAAATAAGAGTATCCATACTTACGATTATATTGTAGAAGCTTAGAGATCAGATCAGTGTGAGTTAAAATCATGCGACGGCAACAATATCTTTGAAGTCCTATCGCGTCCATTGCCGAACTTTTTTTTAAATCGAAATCAATCAATATTAATAAAATAATATAATTTAGTTTTTTAGACAGAAAAAAGTAATAAGGTAGAATTACCCTTCTGTATAATCACTTTCTAGCATCGTTTGATATAACTCCCATTTATTTCCTATAACTTTTCCGCAAGAAAAACAACGTACTGGAATAATCATTTTATTTATTTATTATAGAAAATAATAAAAAAAAAATTTCTTTTATTATAGTTTTCGTGTAACTTCTTTACATAATGCTGGTAGGTCTAAATTTGGGCAGGTTTTTATTTTATTAATATTTATAATAGGTAAATATACAGTATATATATTATATATTTTATTAAATAATAATAATTTTTTTAAACCGTGTTTTTTAAGCAAGCAAGAAAAAAAAAAATTTATTGGAAATTTGCCGATTTTTAACCTATCTTTCTTCGAAAAGAACAACCTAAATCAATAATAAATTAGAACCGAATTAGATAAGATTAAAAGATCATTAATATGAATGGATGGTTTGATTGAATTATACCTTCAGTTAGACGAGCACGACCTCCGGTTGGTTGGCATAATACGTTTGCACAAGAACCACACAATACGACAGTCTGAGCATGACTAAAAACGGTTGTGATACTGAAGCAACCTATAAACATAATCAGAAAGAATTAAGAAAATCGTTGAAAATTTAAAATTTAAAAATAATTAAGAAAAAACTGATAAGCATACCAGGACATTTTACGTCCATGAAGTAAGAATTCGGGCTTTGAACCAATCTCTTAAGCTTGTGTTGGCGTTTTTCATGTTCAGGAGTTGGGTTGAGAAGATCTGTGGTTAACTTATCAAAAAAAAAAAAAAAGGTTATTAAAAACAATTTAACACCGGGATTCTTTCTAGATTATAAATAAAATGGAAATGTAATTTGAATTGAATCCTAAAAAGTTGAAATATCCAAAGTGAAATTTAAAAATTCGGTAAAAAGGGAACCCGCAGTCGACCCAATTTTTAACAGAGTTTAACAAGAAAAATAATTCCACGCAAATTCATCCGTCAACAGCTTTTATTGATATTTCAAGAATTCAAAAAATATTCGTTGACACATACCACCATGATTGATTACTAGCTTTTTTGTGAGAAACGTTGAAAGGGAAGAACAAGATGGTTTTATTATGATCTATATTTATAATCAAAAAAAAAATTTTTTTTGATTCTCCATACGTAAAACTGATTGGTTATAAATTAAAGATAGAGCCGCAGTATTTGGTCATGACATTGATTCAAAGGTTATTGTTTTATAATCAAATATTTTAAAATTATCAATATATATATTTTTATTATCAAAAAAGTTATTCTCAAACCAAATAATTTAATAAAGTTGTCTGAACAAATTACCTAAGAACTCATTTATGATGACGGAGTATACTGGTCGCAATTATCTCATTTCTTTATAATATCATTCTCGGCAAACTCGACCGACAGTTCCTTGGTCAAGTCATTTTTTAGACGAAATAAAGGTATCACCGCAATTCCAAAATTAGCTAATTAAAATTATAAATTTTTTAAGCCACTCAGTCAGTTCCCAAATAACTATTATTGTAACCTAACCGTAAACAGTCAAACCATCTTTACAAAATTTTAGCAACCTTTCCTTAATGACAGCCCTGATGTAAACAAATGCCTAACTTTAACTTTTACCGAAACTTATGGTAGGATAAGGGAGAATTTAATCCAAAATGCAATATCTGATATGAGGAAGTAACGTAAGTTTTACTTGTTACGTGTTGATATATTTTTAAGCTAGTGACTGATATAAAATTTTTTATATTAAGTCGCTATGGGCATCGCCATTCATGGATGTTGGAAAAGGTCAAATGGGGGGAATCATAATCTATGAATTTCCTTCGAACCGCTTGAAGTTTGCATGTGCAATTTCCATGCCTATGCGTAGTTAATTGATATGCTTCAATGAAATTCTTGTAGAAACGTTAAAAGGGACTCTTGCCAAATACCTACCCGTATGAGAGTAAGTTATATTTATGCAGTGTAGCAATTATATTATTTGAATAATATTCTGAAGATTCTAATTCATTGTAGGCTTGGCATTACTGCGTATCAGATAGAAGGACGAGAAATAATCACCCAGCTAAACTATGGTAATGTTAAGCTACAGTGATCATTTTTCTGTTAATAAGTTAAAATCTCTAATTTATAAATTATTGTTATTAGCTTGAGTTCGGGACGTAAGATTGCAAGGCCAACACATCAATTAAGCTGTCATAACTTGAAGCCTCGAGATATTCTACCTGATCATATTCCACTGGATCTCTATTTTGTTCAACGCGCCATCACAGCAGTTTTGACATTTAGGGAATACTACTTCATTCATTATGAGAATCATCAACAGCCGCTGCATCCTTATCGTCCTTGACATTGGATTTTAATAATTCAGGATGCATTTTCCATTTATCGGGTTTTTTTAAAAATTTATCGGATACTGGCATGATACGTAAAAATACCTTGATAAAACCAAGGCTACAATATCATGTTTATGGGTTCATACTTGAAATTGAAGCTAGAAAATTTACTTGGTACTTGTATAGTACTGACTATTGTACCTGGTCTTATACTTGAAATAGAAGTCAAAGGCTCTTATTTGTACTAGGTACTTTATAAGAGGAAAATAGATTATATAAAATTATTGAATTCTTCGACTATCCCTTAGATTGTAGGGTTTTGCAGGCAAATTTGCCTGCTTATTTACTATAAATTCTTTTCTGATTTACTTTTATAAATAATTAATA